GCACCCACGACACAGGAGAAAATCCTAATGTGGGACAAAGTTATTAAAAAATAATAAAAAAGAAATTAAATTACTGGATTAAAAATTTATGTGGAAGGCATTACAGCTAATAAAATGTTATTTATTATTTTATAAAGAATATTCTGTCTTAATTCCAAATCTACTAATCAAAGCGTATCTAAGGAATGTCGGAAATAATCCTTCGGCTTTGCATATGGTGATTATTGGAGGATCATGGTGAAATAACGCTTCCATCCGTCTTTAGGTAATCCCTTAATCGTTGCTTTTAATGAAGCTCATTAGTAGAAGAAAAGCCCGTTATTTTGTGTATACCAGTTTCCATTAAAATAAACAGCAAATTTATCGATCGTCCAGAAAATTGTGGTAGTAATTTTAACACTCTACAATGATTATCTACAGGTAACCAATATATAATGTTTTGTCTTAAGTCTTGTTTTGATTATTCAAGACACAAGCTACTAGGGTTGACAGGGCGTGAAAATTAAACATCTAATTAGTCCGTCAGCTAGGTAATAAAAAATGTTAGACAAGTTTTTTTTACTTTCTTGTATAAAGTTACAATACTTAGATAAAATGGAGTTAAGTTTAGGAGTGAGAAGTCGTTACGTCACAAAGTGCTACAAAGTCGCACGATATTTCAAATAAATATTTCGTCAAAAGTATTTAATTTTGTGAGAAGAAAAATCGCGTTTAATGTTTTAAATTTGCCTACCAGACGGACATTAAAATAAAATTTAGGAAACTACCCTATAATATCTAACAAATTACATTAATAAAATTAAATGTAGGAAAAAGCAAATAGTGCGAGTGTCACTACTATTACAGACTGGTATAACGAAGCCAACCAGCTACAAAATCCTATTTAAGAACCCTTATCAATATTTGAAGATTTGCAGTAACCACAGCAATAAAATCTCTTTGCAAAACTCGTCAAAACATCACTAAGGACAGATGATACTCAATCTCATAAAACATCTGTTACATGAACAAGATAATAAGCTCCGTCTTTGTATCAAAGATAAAACCGCACTTCAGTTAAGTCGACACCGAAATCAGGATGCAAATACTTGACATCTTCTTCGGATTCCAAAACCTCTTGACATACATCTTCAATCTTCAGGATCTTGTTACACAAAACCTCTGGTATATTATTAGCACATATGTAGGAAGGCTTTTGTATATCCTTGAATATGAGAAAGGGAATAGCACTCTTCGAAGATTAAAAGCTCATATAACAGGATACAAGGCCCTAAGTAGGTTGTGTTTGAAGGATTATTCGTGCTCTACAGATTGAGTTCATCCTATTTAATGATCGCCAGTAATACCTTTGTCAACAAATTTAGTTGTAGGGATTCAGATTATACGAACTCGGATTTACGATACGTTAGTTTCTTGTTGAATCGATTTTGTGTTGTGATCTTGTTTTATATTATTGTGGGACTATTTTGTCTTTAATCTTGTTTAGGATTTGTTGTACTGCCATAATTCTATTGTGTGTTATTAATTCTGGTATTTTCTTTTTATAAATGGTAGTAGTAATGGTGTCAGCTCTAGACTGTATTATTTATTGTCCTTAATGTTATTTTATTTTCGGATTTTTCTAACTAGAATTTGGTGTTACGTCGTTCTCGTACAATCGAACCAACAAAACTATATAACTAGAAAATTGTATTGTTACATGTGTGAACCTGATTGAAAAAGAGTAACTTATGGAGTTTCTTGCTCGTCCTTCTCCATAGGAATCCGCATCTTGGTATGAGCAAATAGTTTTCACTCTTAATTTTTTTTGTTGACTTTCAAAAGCGCCTTGCCTTGAATTTGACTTTGCCTTATTTAACTTATCTCAAAATATACGTATTTAAACGACTTATATATTTTTATCATTTCAGACTTTTTGGCGCCTTGCCTTGAATTTGATTTTGCCTTATTTAACTTATCTCAAAATATACGTATTTAAACGACTTATATATTTTTATCATTTCAGACTTTTTGTTTATACTCTGGCAATAACCCATACTTATGTATGTTTTATTAAAACGAGATTTTGAATTCAATTGCTATTTGTATTAGTCTATTTACATCACTATCATCATCATCAACAGCCGGAAGACGCCCACTGCTGGAGAAAAGCGGGAGGATTTTCTAGTCCTACACTCCATAGTCCTACACGTCGAACGACAACTCGCCCCTTGCATCCACAGTCTCCCCACAACTCTGGAAATGTCGCCGGTCCACATAACGGGAGACCTGCCCATGTTACATCTTCCCACATATCTTCTCTTACATTTATTTCAATTAGACCAGGAAGGCACTTTTGAACGTCAACATAAAAAAAATTAAAGTGAAGCTATTTGCTCATTCCAAGGTGTAGATTATTATGGAGAAGAACGAGCAAGAAACTCTATAGGTCCACTTATTTCATAACTTTCATCTAGTCTTACGGAAAAAAAATTGGCTCTTTGCCTCATCCCTTAAAATATATACGTTCTTAAATTTAAAACGACTATATTCATCATAGATACTCCTGAATAAACACAGTAACATAAATATTTTTTGCTCGAAACCCATTGAATTAATTCTGTTTCAATATACAAAACAGAACTTGTAATTGAATAAGAGGGTGGGTATGTGGAATTGTAATTTAATTTTCCTTATGTAGCGAGGCTTGGTTGAAATATTAAATCTTAGTTTAATACTGAAAATTTAATGTTTTGGTTGTATTTTTGTTATGACTGCCTTTTTAATCTGGTGAGTCTAGTTTTATTTCATATAGTAATACTTCCTATTAGGTAAGTTTTTTTTTAGATTCTGCGATATTACTATGAAATATTCGAAAGGTCAAAAAATGTCAATAATATTTTGCGCGACCTGGGAAACAAATTGTAGACCCTTGCTCGGTAGTTTCACTTGACTTGACTAACGAGTATCCACACCAGACCTCATGCAGGCAGCAAAATTATTTTTTGCATGTACCTATGCAAAAACGTTTTGGGAATTTGACGGTGCGGTCAATCTCTGTAACAATGAAAATGAAACCTTTGAGACAAATTTATTTATTTTATATTTATTTGACCTAAAGCACTTGAAAATACATAAGATTTTTGTCAAAAGTAATCTGAACCTTAAGTATTCGTAATTAAAGAGGAAAATTCAACTAATTAGTCAATAACTGGTTTCAATAGCACGCAATTCAGCTATCCAAGTTTGACGTAAAGTAAACCTTAAATTATAGTCTCAACAAAAAATAATTACATCTTTTGAAACATCGAATGTTCTAAAATACACCCAATTACCTCAATCTAAGTTTGATTTTCCAGTGTACTTACGCAAACAATTAATGTGCTTATAATTGTTTTACGTCAATGAGTAATTATTTTAGTAAAACATCGCACCTGTAATTTCTAAAGAGGTAGGTAGAGGTGTAATACATATCACCTTATTTTCAGTTGTTTGTTTAAAATTGTTTATAAAGGATGCTAGACTAGTCATGAATATATAACCTGATATCCTTTACATGACAAAGGAATAAAAGAAATGGTACTTGAAATACACCGTGACACTCGCTTTTCAGTATTATACTACTGTCGCCCATACAATAGACATATTACTTAATGGAATTCCTAGAAATTTTGATTATACTTTTTCCGATGGGCGGAGAACCGAATTTCAGTCCTTTCTCGGTATTTGAAAGTTTTAAATACCGAGGAAGGGCAGAAATTCGGTTAGTTCCAAATTGATAATAAATCGACCAAGACAGTCAAGAATTCCCATTTATCCATTTTAAATATATAAAAGTGGGACTACTTCTGCTTATACCTTTAAAGAAAAATAACTCTAACATTATCAAGAAAATGAAAATGTCTACATAATACAATAAACAGTAATTATCAAGTCAGTTCGCGAAATGACATGCTACCCTAATATTTTCTCATTAAATATTAATTTCTTCATTACCCCAATTATACAAAGGGGCGCAAATATTCATCCATTATTTCTTCTGCTAGTATATTTTACTGTGCTTGTAATGTAAGTCTCCCTATGTATTTTGTTATCATAATTGTTATTTTGAATCTTGGATTAGAGTTCTAGCTGATTTTTTTGAGGCTTTGCAAATTTATAGTATGCAAACTAGTGATTGGGAGAGCCATACTTCGGCACGAATGAGCCGGCTCGACCGGAGTGATACCACGGCCTCACAGATAAGCGACGTTAAACAACGCTTGCGTTTAACGTTGTGTGAGTGAGGTAACCAGAGGCCCAATTACCCCCTTCCCCTGTCTCCCCAATCCCCGAAACCTCCACCATCCACGTTACCGGCCTTTTGGAAATTAAGAATTTCCCAATTTCCAAAAGGCCGGTAACGCCTTGGTATTCCAGGTGTCCATGGGCGACGACGATTGCTTACCATCAGGTGATCCGTCTGCTTGTTTACCGGCTTATGCCATAAAAAAAAAAATATGGTGAATTTTTTGCCAATACGAGCAATTGGTTTGTCTACATTCTAAAATAGTTTACGGCATTTACATTTAGTTCACAATAATGATAATGATCTTTTTGTGCCGGTTTTAGCTACGACGACCGTATTTTGACTACTGGCGTATGTTGGGCTCTCATGTAGCTGTCTAATCCACCACCATTTGTTTAACAGTAGAGCTCTTAATTTAACACTTATTTTATAACTTGTGGGTACTCCCACTGGGTTAGATCCGCTTTTCAATTCATATGGGAATCGTAGGAAAATATTTATGACTCTCCATGATAAATGGACGTAACGAAAAAAGAAATTTTAATTTGAACGTTCATGGAGCTTGATTCAACAAGGATTTTATATGTAGGTATTAACGGTAATTTCTTTGTTACAGATAAAAAGATGCAATCCAGGAAACGTCAGAGGAAAAGGCGAGTGAAGAGAATTAGTGTCGTGCGGTGGACGTGCCATAGAAAAATGTAATTTGTGACAGAAAGTTTTAAAGTTCAAAATGGGTTTTGCGATATCGTGGCCAACAATGGGTAGATTTACGAACAGTTATTTGTTGGTGGTAGTTTTGTTCTTGTGTAGGACAATAGTTTGTGACAGTCAGTGTCCAAAGTATGCGGAGAAGCCGCTTGAGACGAGAGTGCAAGACGCCTCCATAGTTTTTAGAGCTGTGGTCGTACAGACACATTATCAGGTGAGTTATTTTATCCTATTTAATTTATGAACAATATGTGGTAATGTAAGTGATTAGAGTCTCCTTTTTCTATAGTTGGTTTTTATGTTTACATTGATTCAAATGAAAATTGGATATACCTACTTCATGCATGCATGTTTTATTTGTCGGTTTTTTTTTTATACTGGCTAATCTTTGAAATGGCTGTACCGACAACATAGGCTACTTTTATTTTGGAAAATAAAACAAAAAAAAAGTTATGTACTAACTTCTAAAATTCATATTTTACGCCAATAAAGTCGCGGGCAACAGCTAGTATTAAATAAACACCTAACCTCTTATTTAAACCCCCCTTTAACTCGTCGAGTACCGGTTTTATAGACACAATTAAAGAACAATGGGTCGCGGTCACCGGTGACCGCTTGGTGTTTGACAGTTTAAAAGAGAAACAAACACATTCCCCATTGTTAGTGTAAAGTAGTATCTCCCCCTCCCCCCTTTCCCGTACCAACTCCTTATCCTTATCTTGAATGAAAGAACAACAGACTAGCTCGCTGTTTCTTTTTAGCGAGCTGTAAAATGTACGGGTGTAAATAAAATGAAATTTCTCGACTACAAAGCTGCTGAGAAAGATATTATGCTTGAAGAAACAGTTTAAAGTTCTGTAGAGAAGATTGTGTTTCACGTTAATGCATATAGATGGCACATGTGATGTGACGATCAAGAAGAATACATTTTTTATCAGGCCCTACTCTTCGTAAGAACTGATTACCAATTGCAATAGACAGTTGACAGAGGTCAGACAGTAGTACCCTCTGATAACCCTTGGTTGTGGAGATTTTACTTTGTTCTTAAAAAGAAATCAGCGGTCTCTGGTCTTCTCTGAGCATGGAATAGACACCTTTGCCTAAAATGCTGTCTTGAATTCAGCTGCCAAGCGTCGATGTTTGAGCATACTATCTTTTCTAAAAGAAGCTCACTGTCCAACAGTTGATTAGGATAACTATTGTTGTTGATGATAATTATTTGATGAAAATCCCAGCAGCTTGTAGTTCCAAAAGGTCGTATAATTGACCCCATAACTTTGAGACTAAGAACAAAATTATTTATCAAAGAGTTTTTGTAAGTTTAACGTAAGCACATTTAGTATACCCCTTTAGGCGATACCAAACGTGATAATAATTAAATTATAAGAACGTTAATTTCATCTGTTACTCAACCAAAAGCACCTCCAATTTCCTGAAGTTTCACTTGATTACATCAAAGCCAGTGTCGCGTTTGATGTTGACTGTACAAATGGTGCAGGATTATCTGATCTTAAGCGCCTCTAATATATAATGTAGTATATATAATTATATATATAACGTACTACAAAGGGAACTATGTACCTTGGAATTTAATGAATTTGTGTGTGTGATCAGAACATGCAAATATGACGTTGATAGGCATACCACACGTAGGTACCACATGAATATGTACCTATAAGTATGCATAACCTAACCTTTATAATCGTGTATAATCTGTACATGCTACCTGTGACCTGTGACCAGAGACCTCAGGGCTAATTTTGTAGGAAATTAATTGTATTATCACCTCCCGAGAGGAATACATCGAGTTACAAGTCACCCTGTATGTATATAAAAATACCATTTACTCACAACTAATTTAACAGTTCATTTCTGCAAATTTAATACATCATTGACAACAGTAACTCCAACACTTTAATTAATTTTCCAGAAGATTAACCAGTAAGTGTTATGCGAGTTACATATCAAGCCATTATAACCAGTATAAACTGACCGTTGAATGTAGGAAAAGATCATTCAAAGAGAGACCTTGGTAACTGGTTTAGTATAGTTTGATGTGAATGTGTGCTTTTGGGACATATTTAATTATTTTATTGGCATCCTTTCAAGCACAATTTGTACTTGGTTTTCATTTACTACGATTGATTAAACACTTTGAATTGACATTGGTTTATTTAAAATTGTATTTATTCGTATTTTATTTGAATGCTCATTAAAAATATAAATGATTACGACTGTATTATTATGTGTCTACCTCGTTGGTCGCCGTTCTACCTCTATTCCCTGGTAGGACAAAGTATTACTGGTTTTTTTTTAATTCTCAGCTAGTAAAACGGAGTATCTATAGAAATATGCACAGTATAATATGGCAATAAGCTCACCCCCTATTACTTAGGACTCATAACATAAATAGTGAAAAGTGAGTGTTACATTATACAGTGGCATTGTGCGTAATGTGCAGCTCTGTCTACCCCTTTGGGGATAAAAGGCGTGATGCTATGTTATGTTATTATGTTCATTTCTGTAGACTTATAATTAATGGATTTATTATATGTTATGTAGTGTTAAATTTTCGTTTTTTGTAGAATACTAAGTACTGTCGTGCGGTTTGACCCACTGTTTGACTCTTATTGATTCTAAAGTGATATTTTATAGTCTTTTTTGGGACAAGTCCGCCACAAACTCCCAAAACCGCTGCAACTCCTGTAAGCCAGGATCTACAGTAGGTACAACTATGAAAACACCAGAACACTGAAGTCCGGCGCGTCCCAGGAACATGAATTACTGTCTTGGTACCCGCAACGAAGTAAACCAGAAGATATTATAAAAGGCGAAGAAAAAAACAAAAATAAAAATAACGATTTATAGTTTATGTGGAAAAAGTAATATTCAATTCGATTCAGTAGTACCAAAAGTTTGAGTGTTCAAATACATAAACAAACAAACTCGAATGTCATACCTATGACTATGGCATTAACAACATAACCTTAAATATCACATAACATATTGTCAACACATCTGTTTACCTGTTTGGTGGAAATCAAGCATGCAATGTAAACTGATACACAAACGGACGGAACACACATTAAATTAATTATTCGCTGGGTGCTCGATGACAGCCCCAGCTAGCCTTTACAATTGGGATGATGACAGGGTATGAAAATTAAAAATATAATTAGTCCGTAAGTAAGGTATTAAAAAAATATTAGACACGTGTTTTTTACTTTGTCGTATAATAAAACAATACTTAGATAAAACGAATCAAAGTTTAGGAGTGGGACTAAAACGTCATTTCTACGTATAAAATGTTCATAGAAGTGACGTCACGCGACATTTCAAATCAATATATCGTCGAAAGTATTCGTTTCTGTAAGAAAATAAAAAATACGTGTCTAATGATTTAAAATAATCTACCAGACGGACATTAATAAAAATTAGGCGTCTACCCTATTATGGCGGACATCGAGATGTCAAATGGCTAGCCGTTAATACAAAGAGTATGTAAATAAAATACTATAAGTAATAATGTCAGTCAAGTACTACATTGTACTTAAATATTTATCGGTTATTTATTTATTTACTACTTTATGTATACAGACAATATAGATAGACTATTGTCAAAATTTACGTCAATCCCATTTAATTTAGTTTTCTATTCTATAAGGCATTTGGCTACAGCTGCAGGTTTTGTCACAATGTTTTCCTTCACCGTTTGTCAGCGATGTCTAAGTAATCGTAGAAACTCGGAAAAAGTCACATTGGTACTTTGCCATTGGTAGGTTTTACACACCCTTGTGCATGAAAAACAGGCATCATAAATCTCCGGGCCACCGCGACACTAATATACAAAGTTATATACAAGTTATCGTATATTACCTCTATATCTTAAAAAAAAACAACTACTCGATCCCAAGGACAGTTCAGTACACTCACTTACAGACCAATTTCCAGAAATATAGGTCGAAATAGAATGACAAAAGGTATCCTATATACTTGAGAGCACTTCATACAAGTACTTGTATCTAAATATAAAACATCAATATCTGTATCTAACATACAATTCATTATAATAATACGGTTCGTGATTCCTCGAGGACCCGACGAGATGAGAGACGGATAAAATAATGAAGACTTAATACTTATGTGCTTATGTTTAGATATATTTTTGAAGCCTAAATTAGATATGAGCTTAAGTTATAACGTCACATCTTTTGATCCCTGATGGGGTTGGCAGGGGTGCACCAAAATCCTACTCATATTATACCTAAATGCAAAAGTTTCAATGTTCGTTTGTTTCTCCTTCACGTACATACGGCTGAAGAAATTAGGATGAAACTTAAAACTGGGGTAGATTATGATATAGGGAACAGAGAGTATAGTTCCCTGAGATCGGAAAAGGAGGGATCCTCGGACCAGGCGAGGTTTTTGTGCCTGGCGGACTTTCTGTCCAACAGTTGTTCGTTGAGATTTTCTATCCGTGTTAATTCGCATGTAAACTTCACATGCGCGATGTACGATTTTTGTAACGTCATCCATTGATTTGTTTCCATCGATAGTCTATGGGCGTAAACTGTTATATTGACATGAGACGCCACAATGGTATGGAATTACACAAGCTTTTTATATAAGGAACGTGGGCGAAGTCGCTGGCAGAATCTACTGATCTATTAATATTATCTACTTTTCGCTAGTACATTAAATCTCTAGGGGTGAGGTCACAGGATTTTTAATATTAGGATTATCTCCTTTATCGTTGTGGCATTTACAAATATATAGCTCAAATCAGTCATTTACCCAGTCACTCCCCAAACCGTATTTAATATTAGTGGTAGAATAATTGCCAAAGAATTTATTGTCTTAGCAGTAAAAGTAGAAAATATATCTATTTTGCCCATATCTATTTCATACTAGAGTATTCTCAATCACATACCAAAATAACATTGTTTACAATATTGTTGTATGTCTATTTGTACTGGCTAATCTCTGGAATGGTTGGACCGATTTTGCAAGACTTTTATTTGCAGGTAGCTGATGTACTAAGGCGTAACATAGGCTACTTTTATTTTGGAAAATTAAAACAAAATAAACGTTATGTTCTAAAATTAATATTCTACGCGAACGAAGTTGCGGGCAATAACTATATTCAGCTAGTAATAACTGTATTCTGGTCATAAACCCATACAAAATAATATACCTACAATACAACAAAAGGTC